GCCGACCGAACTCTCGCGGGTTCTTCCGAAGCTCCACCCTTCTTTTCCGGTTCTTCCACGCGGTCTCCCTCTTGCTCGGCGCCATCTTGGACCGGCGTTTCAGGTCCCTTTTTCTCAGCCACTTCTTTGACCGCCTGAACAGCCATCTGCAACTGGACTTTTAAACTTAAATTCTGGTGCATTAGATTCATTACAGTAGGAAAAGTTGCACCATATTCTCCCCCTTTTTTGCACCGCAAGGCCACTCTCTCATCCGCGGCTCGTTCCTCCGCTTCCAGGTTTTCGTGGAGCTCGGATGGCAGCTCGCGATCCCTTAATCTAGCCGCCATGAGTGGAAGGAACCGGACGATTGACTCCAGTTCTTCACTCTCCCGAGCATATCCTAGGCATCGGGCACACTCCCGGGTGAAGGTCGGGTTCGTTTCACCCGCCGGGTTGGGTCCGGCGAGGGACACAGTATCAAGGGGCCTGAACAGGACCCGCTCGTTCCTCATTATACACCCGAACGCCGCGGGGAGCAAATACACCTCCCTTTCTCTCAGGGCTCCGTCCTCGGAGACTCCCTCTTCTCCCTTTAGCTAAAGGCGTCCGCTCACAAATCTTTCACCCGTTCCGCCCGCCTGGTGGTAAGCGATATGCGCTTCCAGCTCTTCAAAGTTTCTCACTTGGCGTTGGTTATCGTGCCAAGGGCAATTCCTAACCAATTCTAGCTCTAGCGTGTCTTCTCCTTTTGATCCCATCCTTGTCACCATGTGCGGGCCAGGCGCGAGCCGGGCCCTTTTTCGTGCTCTGCGCGGGCTGTGGCTAGCAGCCCGGGCATGCGGGGTCGGAGAGAGGAGGCGTCAAGCTAGAATTAGGCACAGACTCGTAGCGGTAGATTTAAAGATTGTTTACTTACACCGAAGATGGTCGCGGTGCAGGCAGGAAAACTTGCTTGAGTTGCGGAGCACTTCCAGGGACCTCGTTGCACAAAAAATGTAACTTCTGTAAGTGTCCCTAGTGACTACCATGCCTCCCCAGCGTATGCTGACAATTCAACAGTTCCTAAGTCAAGAAGATGAAAGACTGAACAGAAAATGAAAAGAGGTCTTCCACTCCCCTGAACTGATAGCCACCATGAGCAAGCCACAGCAGAGGAGAATAACTTCCTGGGTAGACAGGGTTGGAGGAAAAGTCTATGGTCTTCCTCTAGATATGCTTTATGTCTCTGGGATTTTCCTTTTTTTTTTGTCATTTATGCTTAGTGAAAAGGAAGACATCTTATCTTCGTGAAAACTATGTTATTGGACTAATGATGCCATCCATCGAGGGCATTCTGAGCAAAGACAAACCATTTACCGGAATTGGTTTGACAGAGTAAGACTCATTTGCTGAATGCCTTTTTACCAGTCATGCATTGTGGGAATCAAATTCTCAGAGCTGCTGAGCACCCACAGCAGCCATTAAAGTTGATAAGAGATGCAAAAGCTCAGCCCCTTGCCTTTTACCTCCTCAGCTGGAGATGAGCCACCAGGATGATGCCCATAGCTGTATGATCTGCTCACCAGCAAAGTTCCATCAACACATCTGTGAACCTAATCTGAGGAAAGAGAGGCACACACTACTGCCATGCTGAGATATGCTATGCTCACCCACTGGGGATCAGCATGGATCTGCCGTGTACCATACAGACAGAATAGGTCTCTCCCTCCCACAGATCAAGAGAAAGACAGCCAGACCTCATTCCTTTCATAGAGTGAAAGAGGGGAAGGAACGGTAAGTTTCTCTGTCGTGGAAAGTCATTATTGTCAACACTGGTTCAACACTGTTGTGAGTACTTGAACCGGCAGTGTGTGACTGTGATTTTCTTTGGGAAAAAGCCCCTGCCTTTGACTCTGAGAGTGCTTCAGAAAGACCTGCTGACTAAATGAAAAAACAGATTTTGGGAAGCCTTTCCCGGTTTCCCTTTTACAGCAAGCCAAAATATTTACGTAAACATTTGTTATTTGAAATTTAATCCCCAGTATTAACATTCCTTACAATGGGCTCTGCTCAGCACTGAAAATGAATGCAATCTGCACAGTAACGGAGGCCAAAGGAGCCAAAGCGAATGCTGAGCAATAATCCGTTTTATACGGAGAATTAATTTTCTACCTCCTGGCTGTGGTGTTATTAACAACCCCTTTGTTTGTTAGTTGTTAGATAACTGCCTAGTTTGCAAAGGAGTTATCAGAGACCTAATGGTTCTTGTACACTTAGTGGAGGCTGCCACAGGAGTTCTGCAGTAATAGCATCTGGATGGGTCCTTTGGTAAAATCCCTTTACCATCCCCACTTCACTATAATTGGAGCAGCAGTTTGCTATATTAAAACTCAATAAAATAATTAGGAGCTTTCATTCTGCTTCACTATTCTCTAGAGAAGATGCTCACTCAGGAATCCAGATCCAAAGCTTTCTCAGCTTTGGTCATGCTTGGAATGGATCCAGACTTTGCAATCAGTCCCTCTCTTCATGATGGACCCCAGGTCCAAACACCTCATGAACAGTTCATTTCCAGCCTGAGATCCCAGCCAGATTTTCATCTGATGTCTCAGTGATGCTACCATCACATGAACACTGGCCTCCTGTGTTTTGGGCCTCTCTCTATTCTGCAGGAGTGTCACAATATCCATGTTTACTATAAGCAGATTCCAGTGCATCTTTAACTTCATCTACGTAACTGCACATGTGTTATTTCCTGCATAAGTAAACTTTGAACACAGAGAGACTGGCAACATTGAGACAGTTCCCATTAC